GTGTTTGTTAATAAAACACTCAGAAAAATATGAATGTTTTATTGTGATGTTGTAGTGATGTGAACAACATAGTGATGGCAAGTGTTGTGCTGAAGTTGCTGAGTACCAAAATGTGTCAGATGTGTATTCTACCTCGAGCCCAACTGTTGCGTCCAGGGCTGCTGGGATGGGTCGCATCTCTAGACTACAGCATGGACCAGGGGCAAAAACCCCAGGAACTACTGCAGAGTATGCTGCAAAAGAAGAAGCAACACTTCAAGGAGAGTGGGCAGATACTGCTCAAGGACATCAAGGAAACTCGTGACAAAGTAAAGGAGAAGATGGAAGAGATCGTTGAGGCAAGGCGGTGTTACTTTTGTACTATGTCATGAGCTATAGTAACTCAATAAAGTGATGATTACAGTTGGTCTAGCTTGGGACTGTTTCATATAAGGAGAGTAAGAATTTTTTTGTTCACATCCATTTTTAGAATGGGTCTGGTCTATTCAGCCTCTTACTTGTGATTATGTATGATTTTAAAAACAAGACAGAAAAGTCCTGCCAGCTGGTTGCTAGCCACTGAGTACCAAGTTCAGCAGTACACCCTTTTCTGTCAATAAATTAAATGAATAAATACTTATGAAAATTTTGTATAAAACACTGTAAATAACTTAAAATAATAAGCTCTGCCCAAAAATTATATCATAAAGAATAAAAATTTTAACCTTCGAGCTGATCTTAAAAAAGCCACTAGTTACACAAGTATATTCTATTCTTTCAGCTAACCAAAACTGAAAGGGAGAATTATTTAATTTTGTAATCTTTACTGTCCTATTATTGCATCTTATATGCAGTCCAATTTTATGCATCACACTAGTATACAACTAAACCATTAACCACAGACTGAAGTCCAACCAGCAGCTCTTTCTTACAGACCTTTAAACTGTTGTTTCCCATATGATAAAAGTTGAATAAGTCAGTTTCTTTATATGGCAGAACAAAATGCTGTATCCTGTCACATGTCAGCGACAGACATAACTGTACAAGTGTGAAGTGTCTTGTTTAGCGAGAGAATGTGCTGACCATCCCCAATTTGCTGTGCATCTCACGGATTGTCATTTCACCATTCCTGGGATACCTCATCTTGCAGTCTGAATACCACCTGGCACTTGGGGTGTTTGTGTTTGCCGGCATTACAGACTTGGTGAGTAGTTTCATCAGTGAAGCCACCTGAATCAAATCTGCATAACAAGTTATTTCCTTGGGGTTGCTTAGTTCACATGTGTCATGAGCATACAATTTTTTTTTTTAATTTTTGTAACTATATGAGGACCTCGGCAGTTTCGTTGTACTAGATCCTCAGTTATCCAATTGCCTGCGTTCATGAGCTTATAAACTGTTCCTGTATCGCTGCCAGGTGGACGGGTGGATTGCCCGTAATTTTGAGAGCCAGGCATCCAAAATGGGTAGCTTCCTGGACCCTATGGCTGACAAGGTTCTGATAGCAACACTGTTTCTCTCTCTCACATACATGGACTTGATACCAGGTAAACACCTCAATGACAAATGTCATTTGGTTTGTATTGTTGGCAGGTAGTATAGTTAGTGCTGTTGTCTTTGTTGCAGTGGTTCTGACGGGTGCTATCATAACAAGAGACCTGTTCCTTGTAGGAGCCGCCTTCTACGTCCGCTACAAGTCATTACCCCCCCCTGTTAGTACACTTCACATCTCATTGCAGTAGTAAGATTGCTGTATGTGAGAAGAGGCTTCAGACTTGCCAAATGTTATCTCATTCCAGAGAACGCTGAGCCGGTACTTTGACGTGACGCATGCAACGGCCCAGCTCTCCCCAACAGCCATAAGCAAGTGGAATACAGGTATGCAGCTGCTGCTGGTTGCAACCACTCTGGCAGCCCCAGTGTTCAGCTGTGTGGACCATCCTGCCCTGCATGCCATGTGGTACGTTGGCATGTCCTCAGCATTTCTGGTTTGAAGCAGTTTACTGAACAGTACAATAACAGAATTTTTATACATATTAAATATTTCATATTCCATTCAGAGCCCCTTATAAAACTGTGGCAATTCAGTTTGTCATTATAAAGTTCAGTTTTAAAAACATTTCATCATAATGTGTGAAAATAAGTTCCAGAGGATGTCATGTATAATTTATCAAAACTCGGATAAATTTTGCATGTAAACATTATGCAACAATAACCACTGTCCCACAAGTAACACAGAAGAAGTTAAGTTATGTGTCTCGTGGTTGCAGCATTTTCTGTTCAGAAAGTATTCAAAGAGTAGTACATGCACAACACACGGGGTTATTAATGAGACCTGTACAACATGCACATAGCAAGAGTAGCTTCATATTGCAGTGCAGACCATCTGTTGGACTGTAGTTTGTATTCACAAGATGGAACGTTATTTTAAGCATAGCTGCACGTTGCCTTTAAGATAGTTTAGAAATATCAGTTTCAGCTGATCATGAGTAACTGGCCCCTCATTTTTCTAGGGAACAAAGTCATAACGTCAGGTGTTGTGCTACTGTAATGATGATTATTCCATTTACTGGAATAAAAATATATCAGAGTGGTGTTGGAAATGAGGGTGACTGGTGATTCAGCCGTTCCTTCTGCAGACTGCTTTCTGACTTCCTGCACTCTTGGTATGGTTCAATGTTCTTCCTGTTTCTTTTGTCAGGTATGCAACTGCTGGTACAACATTAGCATCTGCAGTGAGCTACCTCATCTCAAAGAATACCTACAGGTTCCTGAAGCCAAAGAAATAAGTTGGGTGACTGTTAAAGATCAAAAGATTTGTATTTTATACACTGTGTTAGAGAAATAAATGATATAGCAGTGTAATATTAACAAAGCAAGGACTAGGTCCACTGCGCTACTTCAGCACGAGTATTACACTCCAACCATATACTTGGGCATCGTGTACATCTCATAAGCAAACTCCTCAATATGAGTAGGGTCAAACTCCAGACCAATGTAGTCAATCTCCAGGTGAAAGGATGCATTGATTTTGTCACTTGCTGAGATGCCCACATGGGTCACTTTGTCCAGTGGGATTGGGTTCTGTTTATCCTGGATGCGTCCCTTACTTGTCAGGAAGAACTTGGAAAATGGAATCTGGAAAGCCATCATTAAATGAGGTATTAGACAGACGAAGGTTTCAGAACCAACTGAGTTTGAGATGGTCAGAGGAATACTTATAAAATACCTAATGAAAGAGAACTCTGTGTATGTACAGCAAAATGTGACCTTCTGATGTAATTCTTCATGTGTGTTATGATTTTTTCTTGTAATTTGGCTTGAACATTTTATATTCCTTGTTTGTATTAATAATGCCAAAGAAATGCAAATGCTTGAAACATGGGCTTCCTTCTACAGCCAAAGTATATAACATGCATTGAAAGGTCAGAAATGCAGCCATCTACTGAATTCTGATATTCAGAAACCTTTATGAACCTAAGAGCAGAGAAGTCTCCACTTAATTTTGATTTGTCATCTTGCCTTCTGTGTTTTACCTTAGAAAGCTGCCAGTAGGGGCCACCCCTGGTGAAGAGTGCATACGAGTAGACATCATTCCACATTATGTCATAGTAGCCCATGGTAGCTATGTTGAGCATGTACGAGCGCCCATCACCTCGAACTCTGAGCACAATGTGGGAGTACATGCGCCAGTCAAAGTACGAATCCCGCTTGAAGGATTTCTACAACATCCAAAGTTTCAATCACTTCAAAGTTATTATTCTAGTGTTCTCCACACTACTGTCTGGGTGGCAAATTCCACTGTATAGACATCACAATGAAATGGGTCCATGAACTTCATTAATGTCAACTGCAGAACTGGGATCATCAAGAAACAAAATTAATAAAAATACATAAATAAATGGTACAGAAGTGCCAAGATACTTGAGGAATAACTTAAAACTTGATAGTATGGAAACTGGACAAAAATTCTTGTTCTACAAGGCAGCTTGCCAGGGTTTAACGCTTTCTTGGTATATTAAGAGCGATGCATGGGCAATTAGATCACATCTAAGCCATTACCTACAGATGACAAATGTAATCTACAATACCATCTTCTTTATACTCATATTTACAGTTAAACAATAGGGAGAAAAATCAGTACATGTTTTTCCAAGACCCTGAGCAATATTCAAGGGTCTGGAAAAGAAAAGTTTTTGAACCATTCATAATATGTCATGATCTACAAGCAGATTTGATTTCAAGCAGTCATATACTAATGGTGGTGGTGTCATTTTTTTGTCTTCCTGTTAGCTGTATAAAAGCATAAAGATTAAAGTAAACAGAACTAATGTTTTAGCTGATGTTTTGTATGGATGTGAACCTTGCCTGTCACCTTAAGAAAAGAACCTGAACTGAGAGAACTTCGTAATTTTTATTTTTCACCAAATATTATTAGGGTGAACAAATCAAGGAGGATATGATGAACAGGGCATGTAGTACACGTGGGGAGATGAGAAATGCATACAGAATTTAGGTTAGAAAGCCTGAAGGAAAGAGATGACTCAGAAGACCTTGGCATAGATGGAAGAGTAATATTAAAATGCATCTTAAGATAATAGGGTGTAGACTGTATTCATCTGGCTCAATACAGAAACTGGTGACAAGCCTTTGTGAAGATGGCAGTAAACCTCCAGGTTCCATCAAAGGTGGGGAATTTCTTGACTAGCTGAGATAATACTTGTTTCTCAAGGAAGATTCTACTCCAGTCATCTTGTTAGTTACTAGCCACTTGGGTCACATCAGCTGCATAAGCTCTGCATATGATTTGACCCAGGATGCAGTACTCTTTGGTTTTAGTTTACAGCCCTAGGAATGATTTTACTGAATTTGTCTATGTGGTCATTTTCCAAATCTTTCAACATAATTCAAACTCTACTGTATATAGTAATTATAATAACACTTCACACATCAAAATATTAGAAGTACTTGGTATGATGATATAGCAAGTAATGGAGCTTTTCATTTCTGTGTTTAATTTTATCCAAACATTGTTTATCAAGAAATCATCCATCAGTAAGTTACTAGTAGGATATGTGAACCATTTTCAATGATGTGGAAGATACAACTGCACTAGGTCATTTCCAGTGCCAACTACAGCAGACTATTTACCCGTGGTCTCAGTGACCGCATGTTGCAGTAGCCTGCCCTCTTGACACGTCCATCCTTAGGTACCTGTGAAGAAAGCATGCCTGTAAAGAGGCCTTTTCCTCCTTTATTGAGGGACAGTTCACAGGTGCTATGTCCCTCATTATGATCACTGTCACTGGTCGTTGTCCACCGCGACAGCGCTTCAGGTTGGTTGAACTGCCACACAATGTCGATCTCACCTGCCAACATATATTGTCACTGTCATAGCTGAAATCCAATAAGGACTCGTATAGCAATATAGCAAAAAGTTTCCTTACAATTACATTTTATACCTTCTCACTGCAGTACTTTAGTTTGTCATAATTAATCACACTGATTTTCAGTACATGATGATCAACGCTGTTCAAATGCAATAAATGACAATGATTACTGCCAGGCTCATGTTCCAATCAAGTCATCACTCCAATAATGTTTTCAAGAACTTCTATCAATATGTTGATACATTAATCAACACTGCTATCTATATGTAAGCCCAAGTAATGTATGAAGTAATGAACTTTAACCCTTCAGCTTGTAAGTCAGTAAAGTTACGAATGGCATTTAACTGTAAACACATTTCAGATCAATTGCTATGAAATAAAGCATATCTTACCTGTGGTACTATGAGGTGCAGTAAGTATAACAAGGTTATGCTATACTATATATTACAATAACAGCATACGTTAGACCGAAATATTAATTATAATCACATAAATTGGAAAAATTGTGTTGGTTTCATTGTACCACCATGTTTTGCATTATGTTATTTATAGCTGATAAAGAATTACTAAACACAGGTTGCAGGTTGTCATAGTAGTGAGTATGAAGATGTCTGTCTTCTGGGTGGTTGTATCCTGTAGTCTGGCAGCCAGCCATCTGCATTAAACAGTGTTCTCTGTATATATTCCTTCAGTTATAATGTTGATCAATATTATAGGGTATCTAGTCTGACAGTATTGAACTATTCCTAATACAAAGGTAAGTTATCAGAATCATGGCAGACTCAGACAAGAGAGTCATGTAGAGAGAGACTAATTTCAATTTTTCTATATTTTTACCCTTCAAGCCACTATTTAAATAGCTAAAACTATGGCAGTATTTAAATGGCCTGTAAGTAAGAAATTTCAAAAACACAAAGTGTAAAGTTTTTATGGTGTAATGGAGTTTACCACGTTGTTAGGTGTTTTGGTACTGTATACAGACACATCATCAACTGAAGAAGTCCATACCTTCCTTAGCACTCACCTCGTCTGTACACAAGGATGGGGTCACCTTCAAAGCGCTCTTTCATTTCATCCTTCCATAACATTATCTCACCCTTCAATTCTTTCAGTCCATCACGAATCAGCTCTGTTGTTGCATGCTTTGGTTTATCTCGAAGGTACCCGCCTTTGTGATCACGTTCCCATATAAAGCTAACACGCGTTGTGTGAATGAAACATGTAGATCTACTGCATGTCACAGCTTTCAATAAACTGTTGAATATTTTTGTGTTCATTTTCATTCAGATGAAATGTCATATGAACCTGTAACCAAACACAAGACTTTACACACATATGTTCCTAAGCAAATCAGTTGACAGTGCAGATATATATATATAGTTAGTTACAGCACAGAACAAACCAGTCACCAAATAGTGGGCAATGCCTTAGATTCTGCACATGATAAAACCTCCATTGGAAGGCAGTTTGGACATCTGTACCTACGACAAACTTAACATGACTGCCAGCATTTCAGAGTTTACACCCATTTCGGTGTGACAGGCATGCTAATATTTTTAATTACCATGACCATGCACATGTTCTAGCCATTGCTTTATACTAAAAGAACACCTCTAGGCCACTTCATGCCAATAAGCGAGGGTGAGATGGTCGAAATGAGAATTCTCTGAAAGAAGATAGTAGATAAACGAACGCTGATGTACGTCAAACATGCGTAATGCCTAGCCGCTCTGACAAAAAAAATACGGTGAAAGACGTAACAAATGAAACCTCTAGTAACTGTGGACCCTTTCCTTAAAAGAATGTATTATATGTTTTCACAAGGCTGATGTTTAGCCAAGTGCCACTGTTCGGTCCAAGTGCATCTCACCTATAATGCGGTATTTCGGTTTTTCTCTATTGTATCGCCTATTTCTTGTCTTTTTCACTAATACATAATGCTTAATATGAATTTAATTACTCACATTTAAAGCAATGTCCCATTATCTACTAAATGTGCTTCAACATTCGCATACCTGCCCGCAACCCCCACAAACTCAGTAACATACATAACATATTATTTTGAGGTTAACGAGAT